AAAACGTGCGTTAGCAATTTCTTACCATAATATAAGGAATTGTCTAGTTTTTCTGAAAATGGAAATAAAAAAAGACTCGTGCACGTGAAAAAAAATAATTTGTTCTAACTCAGGGATGGGCAAATTTTTTGGGACGTGGGTCAAAAATTAAAATATGTTTGGTGATAAAATTTTCTAAAATTCTAAAAACAATATGCAAGTGTTACAATTTAAATATGTAAATGAGATTAATGAAATTGCGATTTCATTTTTAAAAGCTCCTAGTGAGATGAAGTAAAAGGAACGGATATAGGATGCCAATGTGGGTATTCCAGTTTCTAAGAAATGACGCATTTAAAATTAATTCATAGCAATAAATAAATGATAGTTTAAAAACTAAAAAACACGCTTTTTATGGTTAATCGAACTAAAAAGTAAAAAAATGATTCTTAATACACTGCTGGCCACCGTAAATGCAACACCCTGAAGGAAGCACGCAAATAACATGAGATTTACAACATGTATTAGCGGAGGTGAGATATGCAAACGATTAGAATTTCAGCGCAGACGCATATCACGCACGCCTGTGGTGTCACCTCAAAGCGCTATTTAAGGCTTGGAGATTTCGACGATTTCAAGTTCGGCAATTGTGTTTTTCTTGTGGTTTTTTCAAAAAACTATTAGTTATGTCTCGTAGAAAAGAGCGATCAGTTTTTGATCAAGTATCCGAGTTCGACAGAAGAAGGATAGTGGCCTACCGAGATTGTGGATTGTGTTTCAGGGAAATCGGTAGTCGTGTTGGACGAAACTAAACAACTGTAATGCGAATATGTGACCTTTGGTTGCAGGAGGGTATGGCGGACTGACGTGGTCGATCGTATCCACCTCAGTGCACCACTTCACGTGAGGACAGGCAAGTTGTGCGCATGGCAGTGACGGATCGCTCAGTCACATCACGAACCATAGCAACCACGTCCCTTGACCATGGTTCAAAATTACACGGACCATCCCCAAAAAGAGCTCGTGTAGCTGAACAGTGGGACGTTAATATTCACTCACTCACTCACTCGCGAACCATAGCACAGCACATTGAGTCTGTAACGCATCATTCAGTGTCTGCGCGTACCATTCGACGCCGTTTACAGCAGAGTGCTTTATCCACCAGACATCCCATTGCTTGGTCTACCCTTGACGCAGAACCACAGACGTATCCACCATTGGTGCGACCAATGGTGCGATAAAAGAAGGATGTGGGCTGCAGAATGGAATGAAGTTGTCTTTACTGACGAGTCACGCATCTGTCTGCAACACCACGATGGTCGGATTCGAGTCTGGAGACACCGTGGAGAGAGGATGCTGAACAGTTGCGTTATGCACCGCCGCACTGGTCCTGCACCGGGTATTATGGTATGGGGCAGTATTGGATATCATTCTCGCACTCCTCTAGTACGCATTGCCGGTACTTTAAAGAGCCAGCGCTACATCTCCGAGGTGTTGGAGCCAGTTGTCCTTTCTTACCTTCCGGGCTTGGCCACAGCCATATTTCAACAAGATAATGCGCGACCACACGTGGCACGCATTTTCCAAAGGTTCTTCGTCAATCACACCAGATTGAATTGCTTCCCTGGCCGGCTCGCTCTCCGGATCTTTCGCCGATAGAAAACATGTGGTCCATGGTTGCTCAATGATTGACCCAGATTACACCCCCAGCTGCCACACCAGATCAACTTTGGCAACGTGTGGAAGCTCTCCCAAAGTCTCTCTGAATCAATGCCGAGGCGTGTGGCAGCGGTGATCTCCAACAATGGCGGCTACTCTGGCTACTGATTCTGGGAGGAACCACACTTCACAGAAGTCTATAAATTTAATCATTTCATACTAGGTCAACATGTTATCTACAAAATAAATTTTGTTGTGCTATCTCTTGTCTTTCTTGGTGTTGCATTTACGGTGGCTAGCAGTGTATAAGAATAAAATTGTTAAAGATAAAAATTAATGTCATTGTGGTAAAAGCGAGGGATGCTGTGTACTACTTTTTTACACTGACTCTGCATTTCGGAATAGAACTAATAAGAAATTATAGTAATTAATATAGTGCACCCCACGCTTTACCCCAATGACATCAACTTTCTCGTTGATCATTTTATTCTTTATTAAGAATTATTTTTTTACTTTTTAGTTCAATTAGCCATAAAAGCGTGTTTTTTAGTTTTTTTAAACTATAATTTTTCTTTTTCTCTCTCTTTGTGTGGTGTGTATGTGTCAAACCTAAGTGTGGATTCAATATTATTAATATCTATTTATTGTAAGCAAATTTTTTAATGAATTCCAGTTTTTAAGTCTTTATCCCAAAAATATTCATTTGCACGTAATATTATAAAATATGTATAATAAACAAAGATTGTGTGCGTTAAGCAGTATTAGTGAATAAAGTTATCAGTTTTAGAACAATTTTAAAAAGTTTCAAAAAACCTAAAACGACTATTATTTTTTAAAAAGTGATATTTAGAGTTTACATGAAATAACAGTATTAATTTTATACATGACCATGAAATGTAAAACAGGTTTCAGATCAAATCTGAAGCGTTTCAAATGACTAAATATTCAAATTTTCAGGTGGCGTTATAAATTCCATATTTTTTTGTAAAGAATTGAAAATGGTAATATAATTAGTATAATCATTATCTAGTAAAAACTTTTCAACGTATTTTAAATTGAGTTCTATTGATAAATGATGAATTAGGTGCAATTATTATCTTACGGATGTGAGGCTCGCTTCTACTTTTATTGATCAAATTAGAGAATGGTTTTTTTTTCATTCTATTCTATCAATTCTTCTTTTTCCTGTGAGCCTAAGTACATTCAATGAAGTTGATTGATGCAAATAGATAAAAAATTAAAGTCATTTACAATTTTTTTTTCTGCGTTAATCTATAATACTGTTCTTAGGCTGCCCATCCAGTGTAGTGGTTAGTGACACTGACTACTGTGCCATAGAGCCTGGGTTCGAATCCAGAAGAAGGTATGGATGTTTGTAAATGTATAGTGTCTTCGCGGCAGGGGGGTACTCTCTCGTGAGGTTAGTGGAAGAGAATAGGAAGACCCCTGACCACCCCCAGGGTGTTCTCCCTCAAAATTGGGATGGAATCGAGCCAAAACGTACTGTCACCTGCATGGTACTCAAAGCTACGTCTAACGACAGGCGAGTACAATCTAGGACTTTGCCATGATGAATTTCGTGAACCTCGATCTGACACTGTCAGACAGGTAGCAGAGTAGACGGTGACTACACTGACGGTACACTGTAGACAGGTGACGGATTTTTAATTTTGAATCATAGTCAAGGGACGAAAACAATAGCTGATCCTCTCCCCTGACTTACACATCGCACCAACGGCAGGACATTGGAGCCTCGACATATTTAATGTGCATCGGCCCCCTCTGCGCAGCGGATTTTCAGCGGTACTAGGCTCGAACTCATGACACGTCCGCTGCGAGTCCGTTATCTTGATCACTATAGGCTACCTTGGCCATAAGAGAGATTAAAAGAGACATAGAATTAATTGAGTTCATCTCGTAAACTGGAAATATTATTACACTTCATTTTTATAGAAGAACAGCGCAAATTTATTTTTAAATTATCGTCTTGGTATAGGTAGAGCCATTAGATAAGTTGACTCTTATTAGTGTTATGTCAATTGCCTAAATATAGGTTTACATTTGTAGTATCTCTTACCCGAGAGTTTGCAATAAAGTTAGTGAAATTAAAAAAGAAATCTACTTTGTTCTTAGTCAATTTAGTAGAGTTAAGTCTCACAACCGGACACTTATAAATTAAACAAGTAATATAAAAAAAAATTATATAAGTCAATTCCTACTTAGGTCAACAAAGAAAAATTTTACTTTTGTTACTTTTTATTTAATAGTTACAATTAGTGTAAATCATAGGTTCTCAACCTTTTTTGAACTGACGCCCCCTTTTCTACTATATATTTCGATACCGCCCTCTTTTCTAGTGAATATTTCGACACCACCCCTTTCCACTCTAAAGAAATATGAATGTACATAATACATGGTGAAAACTAGTGTTAAGTTTTAAAAAATATCCTATTATTAATAGAATATATTTTTTAATTTAATTTTTTTTCTAAAGCCCCAATCTTTTTACTCGAGAATCTGAAATAGCTATTGTCACAAATATATTCAAATGTATAATATTATATATTTTAGTCATATATAGGATAGTGTTGGAATTGAAACGCTAATGAATTTCTTTTTCATTTAAAAGAGTGGAATAAAAGTTTTAGCTTACCTGTTATAAAGACAGGCCGGGGTTTTGATGATACGAAGTAATTCATAATAAACTATTGCTTTCAAAATAAATATAAATTGACAGTTTTAGTCTTTAAAGAATCACACGCTAATTCCTGGTTAACATATTTAATTATGTTTCTTGGATAGTATACGTAATGAAATGCAGTAGACAAAACATTTTTCCTACTGCTCACAGACAAAGACAACACGTGCAGAAATTAAAATTTACTATAGTATCCACTTTAATATAGGTCTGAATATAATGTGATATAGAAATGATTTAAATACATACAATCTGCATAGTAAACAGTATTAAAGTTTACTTTTGTTAGTACATAATCAGCCTGCTTTTTTAGTCTTTTTTAGACTATATTTGGTTAATCTGCCCAAGCTCCTCCGTGTCAGCTCAACGCCCCCTAATTTTCTCTGGGTCTTTTACTGCCCTCCTGAAAGCCTCGAACGCCCACAAGGGGGCGTTATCTCCCACGTTGAGAACCTATGGTGTAAGTATTTATATACATATAGCAGAATCACAATATTAAGTGACAAAATAGAAAGCGATTTTCCTTGCACATTTTTCCTTTCCCTTTCTATATATGGTGTTGACCTATTTTTTTGTTTGGTTGTTACTGTTTTTATTCATTAATTAAATTTAATAATTCAAATAAAATAGTATTGTAAAAAAATCCCATTCTCAGAAATTAGACCATCTTAGGTGGGGTTCGAGCCCACGGTCCTTTGGATTAAAAGTCCAAAGCACTATCCACTGTGCTACAGAGATGCAACGAACGATTTTCCGTTACATATATGCTGCTGGGCTATTATTTTTGTGTTTGTTACTATTTATTCATTTTTTAATTTAACTAATGAATTAATATTTGAAAAAACTGTATTAACATCAAGCGTCCTCCACTGCAAGTTTAAGCAATGTATTTGAACTTGAATGAATGAATAGAAAGTATATTATTAACGATTGAAAAATTGAACAAGATATAGATACATATATATATAGGGAAAGAGTGAATGAAGAGGAGGAATTGAAAAATGTAGACCCTTTGCATGAAGTCCGTGGATTCTTAAAGAGTAATTCCATTGTGAATTGTACCAATTAGTAATAATCTTTGTAAATTATCATTAATTGAAAAAACATTGTATTTATCCTAATCAGTGGCGCATACAAAGGAGGAAGGGTCCACGGGTCTGGACCCCCCCCCCACCCATTGCCCTTGAATTTTTTTCTTTTGATGATCATCTTACGTATATAGTACATAAAATTTAATAAAGTATTTGTAATTAACAATTTATTTCATTAATTAATGTTAATTACTGCTTCAATAATTTATTTTTTACTGTTTCTTGTTGCCAAAATTGACAAAATTAAAAGAATACGTTTGACGTCGTATTGAGGTATGATACAAGAAGGGTAGACTTTCGACCCTGGACCCCTTCCCCTTGAAAAATCTTTATTTGTGCCACTGACCTAATGAATTACTTCCGGTTTTAAGAGAAAATTTTGAGAATATGTTCCTAGTATCTTTATTTTAAATTCCAATGAGTATGATTGCAAAATATTAAGTGCAAAATAACATGCATGTTATTGCGAACACTGATTATGCAATTGTTTAAATTGAATACATAATACTAGTTCAAATGATAACTCTTTATTAATGTTCTCGCGAATTTTATGTTCCATAAATTTGAAAAAAATAATTTCCTGTTATAAGAAATTGTTTCTATCACTTGAAATATTTTGATTTGTGAAATTGGTTTGCATGTACGCTTACTGAAATTTACACAATGTACATGTTTTTAATTTAAAATTTAGTTTATTGCTTATGTTTATTGCTTGTGTTTATTGCTTATACATGTTTCTTTTTTTTCTCTAACTGTAATACGAGTGTGATTCATAATTTGGTCCTAAATATTCCTTAATTTGCTCCATTTACTCATTTCAATCAATCCAATATAATAATAGGCTCTTATAATATACGTCCTTGTAAAATGAACCGAGGGATTCTAAGGGAATTTTGTTGAACCAGTAACTTCTGTGAAATAGATATAATTGCACTCTTTTGTAAAAAAATCGAAGCATCAAGAAGGAGTTGTCCGATTATAATGAAATTTCGTAAGCAAAGACCTTGATCGAACATGCAAATAATCATATTTTCAAGGCCAATCAACATTAATTGCTGTCGTAGCTCGCATTTCTGCTGAGAAGCTCGCAAAGTATAAAACCGGTAATACAGGTGGAAAATGTTTTTTTTCCTTTCGTTTTCGCCGTTGTGATTCCCTAGAGAGAAAAAACGAATGATGTCATCACGACGTTTTCGAATACCTTATAGGCAACTGAATGATTTTGAACGTGGTCGCATTGCCGGAATACGTGAAGTTGGGTGGTCATAACGAGCAACAGGTAGTCACCTGCATCGCATAGACACAGCTGTTCAAAGGTGCTGGGAGCAATGATTGCTGCGAGGAACTTGCCTATGGAATGAAAGTTATGGAAGGTCAAGATGCCCAAATACGAGGCAAGATTGGATGATTGCTCAATAGACCCGAACTGCTCCAACATGGTATCATTGTCCTACAATCCAAGCCTCTTCCATACCCCACTCGGTACACTCTCCCATTTCATGGTGCTTGGATGAGTCTGGATTTCTCTCACAGTGACCTTTAAGAAGTCTGCCTTTGACCTCACAACATTGTCTGGTGTCGCAGCAGATCATCATGGTTGCCATCATACCGGCATCGCATAGTAATCAGCGATGAATTCTGCTTTACTCTTAAAGCAGATGACTATCGTCTTAAGGTCTGGGGAGGCCAGGGCCAACGGTCTCAATCAGCCTTTGTTTTATAAAGGCATACAGTCATAAGTTCTAGTGTGACGGCGTGGGGTGTTATCTTATACGACAGCAGGTCATCTCTAGTTCTCCTCCATACATCTTTAACAGCTCAACGATATGTTGATGCCATCCTGTTGTCGGTTGCATTATCCTTCAAAGCACATCATCCGGAGGCAAGTTTCTAATAAGATAATGCCAGGCTCTATATCACTCTCATATCTTTGGATTGTCTTGGTGCTATTAATACTGGTCCTTGGCCAGCAACGTCACCAGACCTTTCGACCATATCCAAGACCACCATTTGAGCGTGTCTTGGACATGATAGGGTGTCAGATTAGGGCACACCAAAATAACGCAGATCTGGAGCAACAACTAGGGAATGCCTGGCAAAATGTATCGCAGGATGACATTAGGAACCTCTTTACCGAGATGTTTATAAGCATATATTGCTGCTAGAGGCGGTTCAACTAACTACTGATTTGAACATTTAAGCTGTAATCATGAGCCGTGGATGGGCCTTAGGGCCTTGATTTTTTTTTTATCATTTTATTATCTGTGTATGAGTTGTACACATATTTAATTTCATTAAAACAACCACTTTCTTCATAGTACTTTGATTTTTTTTTTTTTTTTTGCAAAGGAGTGTATATAGAGTGTTTCTAAAATCCAGTCCCCCCCCCCTTAACACGAGAATGGCGATAACAATTAAGAACATATTGAGTGAAACACGCATTTGTCTGGTCGTGATTTCCCATACCCGTGACATAAGAAAAAGCGAAGGAAGGGGGAAAAGAACATCTTGTCGACATCATTTAACGTCTTTTTTAAAAGTACTTTTTCGTTGTTCATCGAAAAGGTCCCTGTTCAAATCCCTCTGCAACATACTTTATTGGCAATGTTTAAGAGCTGTTTTGTTTACTGCATACAGATAATGCAAACTCGTTTCTCAAAACACCAACTCAACATAACCGTGTCTGATATACGAATTGTATGGAATTTTTGAATAGTGCAAATATATGAGGAACGTCATACCTGTTCAGTAGTTACCACAATAAAAGATATAGTTTTATGTGGTTTGTATTACAGCTCGTGTAGTCATCGAGTAATGGATAATGCGTATTGAGATGATTCAAATTAACAGTGAATGTGAGCTCAAAACGGAACAGTAGTGAGGCTGTTTCAAAAAGTTTTCAAAAGTCTGACCATCATGGAAGACCATCCGAAATATTGCGCACCCTTTAAGAGAGACGGGTCATTTGACTACAAGACGTCGATTCAGCGGGCCAGTTATAATAGAGTGGCCTGTTCAACCTGAAGATCTATCGGTATGTGCCCTCTCGTACATCCGCACAAGGAGATCAGTGAAAACTTTGGCTTTTCAAAAAGCCGTGCTTGAAATATGTATTCTTTGTTTATAAAAATAAGAACAATTTTAAATAAGACGGAACTTTGTTAGAGAAATCAAAATGAGTCTGACATCGCCTTTTTAATTTTGTGATATATGTGTAATGAGCATTTTAGTAAGAAATTAATAACATCTTGATGATTTCTATAAGAGATGCAGTAATTACTCGTAAACTAAAAATCAAAACGAGGTAAGTTAAAAGATTATTTGCAATGCATTGCAGTTTGAATCCTTTCTAGTCATCATCCTTGATAATTAGTTTGAAGTGACAACTAAATGATTCATACTATCAAAGAACTGCAGAAGAAACATTACGTAGATAAAGAAGAAACGTTATGAAGAAGTTTTCTAGAAAAAATCCGCAACGGGGTATTTTACTGCTGCATGATGTCCTAAAAAAGATAACTCTGTCTTTTAGACAAAGACACTATTGAGAGAGAGAGAGAGAGAGAGAGAAGTTAAAAACAGCTAAGAAATTCATCTTTCAATTAGATAGCTTTAGGAAGACACAAAATTTATGATTTTGTCAAGAAAGTACAAGAAAGCCGAACCTCAGAAAGAGCAATGTATCATTCACTTTTTATGTTTGCTTACTCTACGTTCAGTAGAGTGAAAAATCTCTGACATTTAGAAGGGAAAAGAAAATAAATGAAAAAAAAACACATAAATAAATAAATAAAAGACTAAATCTAATGTGAAAAAGTGCATTCTGTTCTTTTCCACTAGACAGTTTGTATTGAAAAGTTGCACTTATCCTAGGAAAAACTAAACTGACTTGAAACCATATTCCTTTTAAATACAAGTTAGAAGTACATACATTGATGAACTAGAAATTCTTCAATTTCTTTTGGAAAAAACAACATTAGTAATTAAAATATTTGAAAATATCATAGTAATACATATTTGAAAATGAATTAAGTAAATTTAGCGGGGCTGTGTTATCTTAAAAGAAAAAATAAATAAAATTAAAAGATTTTCTCTACTTAGAATCTTAAGTCACTGAGATACTTCTTTTTGCGTTTTATAAAATAGAGATAAACTATTAAAAAAATATTTTGAATCAATAAAGTAACAAATTAACAACGTAAGGATATCAAGATCTGCTTAAAAGTTTTTTCTTTTATTTACATTCAAATCTTTAGATTTTTCATTCCGTTGTGAACTTGTATAAAGACAAATTGTTTATTACTTATTCTTATAAATCGTATCCCAAAAGCATTACTTATTGTGTTCCCATTTTGGTGAAAATCAGCTCTTTTTTACCTTTATTTTTAATCTTCAATAGAATTTCTCTCTCTTTCTACTTTTTTTTTTGGACTAATTTCTGTCTTTGTGTTACTTTGCATTACATGAATGGATTTTTACGCTATGTATATATATATATATATATATATTTTCCCTTTCATTATACGTGAGTGCAAATACGGAAGCAGGAAATAAATGTTATGACAAATCGTAAAAATATAGTAGGTTATTCTTTGTAGAGATTCTCAGTATTTTTTATTAGATTTTACGGTGGTTAAATTCTACTCG